CTGCGTGTTGAACGCAGCTCCTCACACACACCTGTGATCGTAGTTCACTGTTAAGATCAATGTTTACAGAATATACCGAGATAATAATGTATATGTGAGGTATCTGTTCAAATGAAATATGCAGCGGCCCAAACTGTGTGTGTGTGTGTGTGCGTGTGCGTGCATGTGTGTATCTTGGTGTCATGTGATCAGGGCCAACAGAGATGTGTTGACATTAATAAAGGTTGTGTGATTGAAGATGACTATTGTTTTCTCTTGTTGTGGTAGCATGAACATGAGGAGCTAATAATCTTCTGATCCAGAGTTTCAAACCGTTAGAGGAAGAAACACCAAGTTATGGGAATGACTGCTGGGTAAATCTCAGTACTGTGATGTCATCAGGTGTGAACACATGCCTGTCACCAGAGGTGGGACGTATTGGAGTACAAATACCTTGTTACTGTATCTAAGTACATGTTTCTGGTATCAGTACTTTACTCCACTACTTATTTTTCTGACAACATTTTACTTTGACTTCTTACATGTTGAACACAAATACCTGTACTTTCTACTTCTTACATTTTGAACACAAATACCTGTACTTTCTACTTCTTACATGTTGAACCCAAATACCTGTACTTTCTACTTCTTACATGTTGAACACAAATACCTGTAACTACCTTTACTACTTCTTACATGTTGAACTACAAATACCTGTACTTTCTACTTCTTACGTTGAACCCAAATACCTGTACTTTCTACTTCTTACATGTTGAACACAAATACCTGTACTTTCTACTTCTTACATGTTGAACACAAATACCTGTACTTTCTACTTCTTACATGTTGAACCCAAATACCTGTACTTTCTACTTCTTACATGTTGAACCCAAATACCTGTACTTTCTACTTCTTACATGTTGAACCCAAATACCTGTACTTTCTACTTCTTACATGTTGAACCCAAATACCTGTACTTTCTACTTCTTACATGTTGAACACAAATACCTGTACTTTCTACTTCTTACATGTTGAACACAAATACCTGTACTTTCTACTTCTTACATGTTGAACACAAATACCTGTAAGTAGTTATACATATACCCTTTCCATCACATTAGTATGCATAAAAAGTGACAGGTGCTGTGACAGGTCACACCTACTACTACTTATGCTAATGAGCCCCTTTGTTCGAGGTGTTATCGTGTGTAGGTGTGATATCACAGATAGGTGTGATATCCTTTGATGTGAAGGGGGTGAGGTGTTGTAACATGTAGGTGTGATATTCCCCCTTGTAGTAGATCCTTTGTTGTCTAATCTAATTAGCCTTTGATGTCTGCCCTTTGTTGTCTAATCTAATTACCCTTTGATGTCTGTGCTTTGATGTGAGGGGGGTGAGGTGTTGTAACATGTAGGTGTGATATCACACCGACGTGTTATAAGCCTTTGATGTCAATCTAATTAGCCCTTTGATGTCTGTCCTTTGATGTAAGGGGGTGAGGTGTTGTAACATGTAGGTGTGATATCACACCGGCGTGTTATAAGCCTTTGATGTCAATCTAATTAGCCCTTTGATGTATGTCCTTTGATCAGTGTTTGTAACTAGTATTAAGACAGTCTCTTTAAAGTTGTGTGAGACTGTCTCGCACCCCGTCCTCCTCCCACCCCGTCCCCCTCTCACCTCTTCTGTCACCCCCTTCCTTTTGCTGTGATGTCAGAAGATAGAGGTGGGGGTGGAGTTAGGTAAAAAAAGAAATCTGTGCAAACTAGATAAAAAGCCAGTCATTTCCAATCACCAAGTCACCTAAACTTTCAAAAAAGAAAATGGCAAAGAGACGCATCGATATGGGTTTAATCAGCGAGACGCCTGTGACAACTTACCGCCATCCGTCGGGAGCGCCAGTCAAGAAATGGATGCAGTATCTGTGTCGTGTTCAAACCCCTCCGTCTGAGGCTCTTCATGAAAAATGGAGTCTGGAAAATGGAGATGTTTGGGGTTATGTGTTCAACTATATGGCGAATGAACTTCATTTCTACAATCTGAAGAATGGAGAAACTTATGGACCCCGCAGTGTTAAAGCGACGTTGACCTCAACAGATTGGGCTGTGTTAACTCTGGTGTCTTCCAGAGATCTCCGTGCAACCGTTGTATCAGAAAAAGCAGTGCATCAAGAAACCATCGTGGATCCATTGTGGAGTCGTTCAGGCATCGTACGTGCAATGTCCATGAAACCTGCATCAAAAAGCAAAGAAACGCAAACTGTGGTCTGGATGTGTGAGACTGTCTCCCCTCACACCCCTCCCACCCCTCCCCTCCCCCAGCCTGTCACCTCCTGATTTTGCTATCAGCCATTAATTCTCATTCACTTAGGCGCCGTTTACACGAGGAGAAAACTGCTTGTATCTGCATAGTTTCGCGTGCGTATAGCCCTATTATTTACACGAGGCCGATAGAAACTGACACCACAAACGATAACGGGTCCCAAGGTGGATAGATTTGCAAACGAAACGCTCTGGGGGGTCAACCGAGTCCGTGTAATCACCTCTATACGAATATTTCCTGAAAAAATAACGATAGCCCCACCTCTCCCCGCATCTCCCCGCCTCTTCCCACCTCTCCCACCTCTCCCCCTCACCCCCGCCTCATTGCTGATTTGTTTCTACAACAACAACAACAATGGCGGATCACAGGGTTGCTGTTGTGCTACAGACGCTACTGACCATGAGCAACAAGTGGACATGGAGAACAACAGAAACGACATGTGGCTAAATCCACCGCGGAGAACAACCAGAAGGGCGACCAGGAGAAAGTTTTGGGTAAGACCGGGCAGAACCAGCAGTTGGTGGGACAATTTTGTCAATGGCGTTGTCGTGGACGATGAATGGAGGGAGAACTTCCGCATGTCCAAAGCCTCTGTCGTTGCCCTGACTGAAGAACTGCGCCCATATATCGAGAAGAAAACAACAAACATGAGGGCGCCAATTGATCCACTGAAAAGGGTTGCTGCGGTACTTTATTACCTGAGCGACGAGGGAAGGCTACGGAAGACTGCTAACGCCTTCGGAGTTTTCCGCCCGGCTTTGTCCCTCATTATTAGGGAGACATGCAGAGCGATCACCATCCACCTGGGTCCAAAATACATCAAGCTGCCTTTTACTGAGCCCGAGACCGCGGATCTGGTTGAGGGGTTCCATTGTGCTCATCACATGCCACAATGTTTAGGAGCAGTGGACGGAACCCACATCGAAATCAAGCAGCCATCTAACGACTCCACTAGTTACATCAACAGGAAAGGAAAATATTCCTTTAATGTACAGGCTGTCTGTGATTACAAGTACCGATTCATGGATGTCGTGGTAAAGTGGCCTGGGAGTGTGCATGATGCACGGGTCTTTGCTAATTCCAAGCTAAACATGTACTTAAAAACTGGAAAGATCCCTGCCCTGAACAAACAGATTGTGGACGAAGAGGAGGCCATACCAATTTATCTTCTTGGTGATCCTGCCTACCCGCTGCTGCCGTACCTGATGAAGGAATATGCATCCGGTGGCTCCACAGCTCAGGAACAGTGCTTTGGGCTATCTCTGTGTAGGGCACGTGTGGTCATTGAGTGTGCTTTTGGTCGCCTCAAGGCCAGATTTGCTGCTCTTAGAAGGCCTATGGACATAAACATGGATGACCTGCCCCATGTGATTTATTCCTGCTTTGTCCTCCACAATGTTTGTGAGGCCAGTAAGGACGCTGTGGATGATCAGTCTGTGTTGGGAACAATTCAAGCTGAAAAGGACTTACAGCCTCCCACACAGTGCAATGGCTATCTCACTGACTGTAATGAGGGGGAGGGAAAGAGAGTGAGGAGAGTGCTTACGGAGTACATTGACCCTTAGGACTACATGAAAGACAGACTGTAATTTTTTTTAAAGGTGTTGATTAAGATGTGATAAACATTCTTTGTTACATTCCCTGTCCTCACTGTGCAGCTCCTTCAGCGACAGGCTGCTGTACAATATTCATATACCTGGCTAGGTATATGTATATGTACCTGGCTGCTAAATCTGAGGACTGTTACAGGATTTTTTGTATTATATCCTAACTTTTTTTAGTACTTTTTAATGCATGTCACATATGTGAAACTAAGCAAATAACTATGTGATTCTCCAATGTCCAAAGTGTGAAATTAAAAATAAAATTGGCTGCAACCACTTCCAGACTTTCTTTGAACATAATGTGCAACAAATGTCATCATCCTCATGAATGAAGTTATATGGCCCATTCTACCGAATTGGACCAAAGTGAGGTTGTCCATATATATTTTGTACCATATCTTATTTACACATATAGTAAAAGAACCGTACATTTTGATATGGTATTTTCAGACTGTATTGGCCACTAGTGAAACATAGTTTTCACAGTTAAAGTAATATAAGTGAATGTTGAATCAAAGTTGAATTTATACAATTCATAAAAATCATAATGCAAACTTTCTTTGTAAAATGCATAATACTGATCATATTGATTCCAGAGTTGATTGTTGAAATTTAACATACATTAAACCAATCAGTATCAGCACTTTAGCAACAGGCTGAAATAGAGGGGAATGAGGCTATAATGGGTGATGTTTTTTGTATTTTGAGCAAAACACTTCATAGACATGTTTTTTATATATCTGAGACCTATAATATATGCCTAACAATAGTTTGGGCTTTACCATTAAAGCCCAATGTCACATATCACAGTTCAGATATTTGACACTAGGGGGGGTTACTTTTCATAAATGTGGTGTATTTAGTCGAAATTAGGTTTACAAGGTGAAAAGGACTTACAGCCTCCCACATACTCCAATAGATATCTCACTGACTGTAATGAGGGAGAAGGAAAGAGAGTGAGGAGAGTGCTTGCGGAGTACATTGACCCTTACATGAAAGACTGTTCTTTTATTTTAAAAAGGTTTTTATTAATAACATTATTTATTAAGGTGTACACAGTAAAAGGAAAAAAACACCTTTGCTAGCTACAAAAAAAGGCTAAAAAAAAAGTGATTCTCCATTTGTACAAAGTGTGGAGTTAAAAATAAAAATGTTTCCAGACTTCCTTAGAACAAAAAGTGCTGGATAAAAAAAACTGAAGCTCACTGCTTTACAGGTCCTCCTCATACAGTGACTGGCTGAATGAATAAGGAGGAGATTGTTGCTGTGGGGTGTCAGGGTTCATCCCATGCGTGTGTGGTAGAGAGGGGTTTGCTCTTGGTGTGTGGCCGGGTGTGGCCGTGTGTGGCCTTCGAGGTGGGTATGAGGGCACCTGGAAGTCTCCATATCCACTGTTGTTACTGTAGGGAGGTGCTTGCATTAAATGGCTGATCAGGGAAAGGCCATTCTGAATAGTGCCGTTAATGCTGTCCATGGTGGTATTCATCCGATCCATGCTGGCTGCGCTGCGGCTGGTTGCTTCCTCCATTAGGTCCAACATCCGGTTTTTTACTCTCAGCTCTTCCTGCACCGCATGTTCAGCTGGAAGCTTTCTCTTCATGCGGTCACTTCTGTGGCCGTTCAGCCGTGCCTATAATAAACCAGAGAAAGTTTGAATTACTACACAATAGGACCATAGCCACCAGATAACATAACACAAAAGGCATGTTGTGAAATAGCTCTCAATACATTTTACAAATACAAACAGCTCTCAATACTTTCTAATTTTACAAAGCTTAAACCGGTTCAGTTTTTCAGTGGAAGGTGCTGCATCATAGTATATAGCAAGCCCTTTAAGATTGAAATCATGAACATACCTGGAGCAGATCCCTGCGATGCCTCACAACCGCAGCAGTTGGCAGAGTTCCGTTGGATCTACTCGACTCTGGCGAATCGTTGGACTCCAAACTCTGGGAGGAACTTGGTCCGGGCGACGACTCTTCCAAGTCGAGCAAGTCCCCCGTCTCGACGCCGGAGCTAAGGGGGTGCGTAGCAGGCGAGCCACCCCAGATCTGCTCACACAGCTCAAAGAACATGTACACAACACGTCCTCGGCCACTCCGACGGCCGAGGTCCACCGCCTGCCTGTACTTAATACGTACTTGCTTTAGCTTCGCTGTAAGCTGGCCCTGTGAAATGGAGTTCTTCTCGTGAGGGAAATCTTTCTCAGTCGGGGTCCTCGGATATTGCGCCTGAAATAAGTCCCCTATCTCCATATATTTAGGCTTGCAGGACTCCCAGTCTACATTATCCTGTATTTTTGTCGTCTTGTACTCTAATGTTACATGTAGAAGAAGTTCCACCTCATCGTCGGACCACGAAAATAGCTCCTTTCTTGCGCGAATAACAGCCATCTTCGTTTGTTTGTTTTGTTTGTGCCTCACACACATCCGGGGGGATCTTATACTCGCTGCTTTTGGTGTATTTTGTGGCGGAAGTTACAGCGCCACTTACAGTCCCGGCATATGTACTACAGCGTTTCCAGCGGCCTCGTTTGAACAGACACGTTAAATGAAACGAATGCATGTGAACGGAAGACTTTTTTGAATACGCATACTGTGCATAAACGCAAACGTTCCCGTGTGAGCGGGGCCTAAGTCACCTAAAAAAATAGATTAGTTTTAATATGATTTGTGTTAACTAAGGATGTTCTCTTCAGTTGTATGGCTTGCGAACTAATGTTTAATTACTTTATTAACTACAAGGGACTCTCTTTTTGAAAGAGGGTAATAATAATTTAAAGATCTTAATGACCCCATGGTATTGTCTTTTTATTGTTTAATTACTTTATTAACTATAAGGAAGATTTACTGGTGGGCTTCCCTAGATGATGTAAATAGTCTAAGTGTCATGTTAGGGGGACATTACGGAACTCAGGAGTCCGCCCTTGGAGACTTGGAGAGCGGATAAAGAGAGGTGTATTTACTGGTGTTGAGCCCTGGATGATGTAAATAGTCCAAGTGCCATGGTAGGGGGACATTACGGAACTCAGGAGGCGCCCTTTGAGGCGTTGTTAACATTAATGCTTTTTGCTTTTGTTTTTGTTACTAAGATACTTTTTAGATACACTTTTGAAGTGAGCAACACTTTACAACTGGTAGAAAGTTAAGTACTTTGTATGGAATTGGGTTTTCTTTAGAGCTGTTTTCAGTGAGACAATGCAGTTTCTGATCATTTTAAGTTTCAAGGCTTTATGGCTTTATGGCATATGCCCATTAGCTACAGTGTAGATATGTCAATGAAAAACATAGGTCACAGGCTCCTCCAACAGTGCAGCAAATATATATATATATATATATATATATATATATATATATATATATATATATATATATATATATATATATATATATATACATATAGAGCACATAAAACAGATCAAATACTGTAATAGAATGTTTTGATATGACAGATTTGTGCGTAATTCTCTCACAAAGGAACTGTAAGATACACGTTTATGTATGGAAAACTTTATAACTTGGTAAAATATTCATTAATTTGTAATGAATTGAGTTTCTTAAAGAATCAAACTCTAAATGGAGAGTTTGTGATTTTAACACTGTTTCGATGAAACAATGCAGTTTTGATAACTTGACTTGACTAACATTACTCTTTTTAAATATATGTTTTTAGATGCTTTACTTTGATTTCTTTCATGTTATTTTAACACAACATTACTTTTTTCATATATTTTTCAACATACTGTGATATTTTGTTTTTCTCTCCTTTTTCCATTATATTTTTGAATATACAGTGATTTTTATCAAAATACAACATGCAACTAATACATTATACAATATTACGACTTTTTGCGATATTTTCAACACAATATACTTGTACCTTTTTTTTTTTTGTAGGGCTTCAGGATATTTGGCATGTCATGCATAAAACCGGTGTCATCTTTCCTGAAACTGACGTGCTGTCCGTTTTACAAACAAGTTATTTTTCTGCTTCTTCACCCTCTGAATTGTCCTCCCCGTCCCTCTTCCTTCAGCCATCACAACAACAATCAAGTCAGATCTGTCAAATTAAACACCTCTTCCCAAAGCGTGACTTCCCTATTGAGGGGGTGGGGCAGTAGGGCCTAACTCGATTGGCCAAATATACTAACATGCAGAACGTATGGTATGTTTGAAAAAGGACTAACCATGTGACATCGCGCTCTGACTTTTTTCCCGTAAAATCGTGACAAACTATTACTTATTATTAAATTTCACCTCTTGCTGCTTGGTTGAAAATGATAGATGAAAAATAACTTTTTAAAAAGAGTCAAACAGCGAGGGACATTATACGGGTGAAAGAAACTCTCATTTCTACAGATGACTCATTTCTACAGATGACTCCCCCCCCACTCAACGCAATAAGTCCCACCCCACTCAGCAAATCATCCAAAACTAAGGACCCCCACTAAGACGAACCAGATTTTCTTTAAGACTGTGACTCTTAAAGGCACTTTGGGATTTTAGTAAGACAATCCAGTTTTCTGGAAATAACTTAAATGATTTTTGTTTTTTCTCCTACAAAGATACTTATAGTTACACTTTAATGGATGACTTTATAACTTGGTAAAATATTCATTAATTTGTAATGAATTGAGATTCTTAAAGAATCAAACTCTAAATGGAGAGTTTGTGATTTTAACACTGTTTTGATGAAACAATGCAGTTTTGATAAATTTACTTGACTAACATTACTTTTTTAAATATATGTTTTGTTAGATGACTTTACTGATTTTTGCTTTTTTGTTTTCTGCTACCAAGATACTTTTAGATACAGTGTGTTGTCTGGCAACTTTACAACTGGTAGAATGTCAATCACCAAGTTTCAAGGCTTTATGGCATATGCCCATTAGCTACAGTGTAGATATGTCAATGAAAAACATAGGTCACAGGCTCCTCCAACAGTGCAACAAATATATATATATCTATATATATATATAGATATATATATATAGATATATATATATAGAGCACATAAAACAGATAAAATACTGCATTAGAATGTTTTGATATGACAGATTTGTGCGTAATTCTCTCACAAAGGAACTGTAAGATACACGTTTATGTATGCAAAAAGTTAAAACTAGAAAAAATGAAATACTTTGTCTAAATAGATGTTATTTAAGAATGTGACTCTAAAAGGCAAGTTTGTGATTTTAACACTTTTCTACTGACACTAGGCAGATTTAGCTTGTAGGTCAGAGGGTGAATACAGGCATACTTGGTCATAGTATTTGGGGTGAGGTGAGGTGTTATCACGTGCAGGTGTGATATTCCCCCCTGTTTGAATCCTTTGTTGTCTAATCTAATTAGCCTTTGATGTAACACATTTATTTTCTTAAAGACTGTGACTCTAAAAGGCAAGTTTGTGATTTTAACACTTTTCTACTGACACTCGGCAGATTTAGGCTTTTTTCTCTTGCCAAGATACTTTTAGACACACTTTGAGGTATGCAAAAAGTTAAAACTAGAAAAATCAAATACTTTGTCTAAATAGATGTTATTTAAGAATGTGACTCTTAATGGCAGCTTTTTTGATTTAAGTAAGACAATCCAGCTAAACAATGTCGTTGATGACTTTACTGATTTTTGCTTTTTTCTGCTACCAATACTTTTAGATACAGTTTGTTGTCTGAAAACTTTACAACTGGTAGAATGTCAATCACTTTGTAACACATTTATTTTCTTAAAGACTGTGACTCTAAAAGGCAAGTTTGTGATTTTAACACTTATTCACTGACACTAGGCAGATTTTGGCTTTTTTTCTCTTGCCAAGATACTTTTAGATACACTTTGAGGTATGCAACACTTAACAAAAGGGTATAATATGAAGTACTTTGTAAGGAATGGGGGTTTCTTTAATACCCCGTTTTAAAAAAAAATGTAGGTTTTCTCTGATATTTTAGTTATTTTCAGCTACCAAGATACTTTTTTGATACACTTTTATGTAGGAACATTTGACAACTGGTAGAATGTCAATTATTTTGTAACAAATGTATTTTCTTAAAGACTGTGACTCTAAAAGGGAAGTTGGTGATTTTAACACTTTATTTTTTCTCCCGTTGTCTTTCACTTACTTTTTGGATACAGTTTTATGTATGACAACTTTACAACTGGTAGAAAGTTAAGTACTTTTTCTGAACAGATTGTGGCCTAACACACACAAAAAACACAGAAACACTGAAACACTGAAACACAGAAACACTGAAACACAGAAACACAAAACACTGAAACACTGAGGCCTAGGCTCCACTGGGACGAAAACGGGTTGAATCCGCATATTTCTCATGCGTATAGCCCTTTAAGCTCGACGACGCCGTAACGGAAACGTAGAAACAGACCCCGCAAACGACTACGGGTCCAAAGGTGGATAGATCTGGGAACGGAGCGCTCTGGGGGGTCCAACGGGGCCGTTGGGGTCGCCTATACGGTCATCTGTTTCTGATAATGACGACGCAATAGCCCCCGCCCCTCCTCCCCACCTCTCCCCCACCTCTCCCCACCTCTTTCCCACCTCTCCCCGCCTCTCCCCACCTCTCCCCACCTCTTTCCACCTCTCCGCGTACCCCGCATCATTGCTGAATGTGTTTCGCTAACAACAAACAATGGCGATTGCAGGGTTTGCTATCGTGCTCCAGTCGCTACTGACCATGCTACAGTTCTTTGTGCAACATCTACAGGAGCTCCTCCTTGAATTCAGATATTTATCTTTATCTCGATATGGACATAAACGCGACGTGAAAGTCTAAATCTGACAGGACGGAGACACGCAGCTCCTGCCGCTGTGATGCAGCGGGAGCAAAACACACACTTCAAGTCAGATCATCACCCTTAGCTATTTTAATTACCTCTCAAACTAAACTAGTTATAAATATGTTCATTTTTACTGTCGGGTCACTCATTACTGGATCAGCTGCTGCATGAGACAGACACTGACGCTGTCAGAAGAGAGGAAAAAGAGACAGCCTCCGTGTATTTTATTATCATATATCATTATATCGTCGTTATTCATTGTTTTAAAAAGCTCAATAAATAACAATGAAGACCTTTATCATTTTGTCCAGAAGATTTAAACTTTAACACACGTTGACCGGCGAAAAACTCTGCCCGGTTCCGTCGTCGGCCCCCACCAAGGAGAATAAACAGAAGTGCAGCCATGACAACCATTCTTCTTCGCTGCTTTTGTGGAGGAAGTTGCTGCTTTTGTGGAGAAGTTACAGCGCCACGTACAGGTTCGGCATATGTACTGCAGCTTTTCCAGCGGTTGGATGTAAACGGAGCCGTCTCGTGGAGCTTGACACAATCCGGTGTATATTGCGTGGGGACGGAAGCTTTTTTGCGGTTGCGTTTGCGTTACTACTCTACTCCGATGCGTTTTGCCGTATGTGTTCCC